CAGGCACTAAGACATGACAGACATGCTGCCCTCAGTCAAGGGATTGTACCTTAACAATTCCTCAAGCAGACCAGATATGAAGGAGGAAGTTTAACAAAAAAAAACAGCCATCATGTCAAGGGTCTCCATCCCTCCCTGGCCTTTCAAGATTTTAATATCTTTCTCCCTTCTGCATTATTTTCCTGAAAACCTGCATTTAAAGAGCCCTTCAGATACACATCAGGGCACAGACAAGTTGAGACTTTAGCCACAGCAATGCGATGATGAACAATAGTTTTCCACTCTTGTGCACAGGCATTAAAATAGCTGTAAGCTATAGTAACAGGCACTTTGCGCACACTACTAGCCAAACAACACAGCTGACAAAAGGAAATAATGACTATTTTTGCAAACTAAGGGCTCTGCTTTGCTGCACAGCATTAAAATGCATTTGGCCCACAACCCTCATTCCCCAAACTGCAACGACAGTACCTCTGCTAGAGCCACCACAGAGCACGAGGCCACACTGGGGCACCCCAGCTTAAAAGGACGGGTGCAGGCGGTTCAAAGGAAAGCAACAGGCACTGCCCTGGCCACACTTGCTGCTGCACAGGCAGCAACTGAGCACTGTGGGGGCCAGCAATGTGGCTCAGCACAGCTTGGGACACAAAGCCACAAGGCAATCTTAAGCCACGAGGCAAGTTTGGCCAAAGCTTCTTCGTCAACGCTACAATGGAGAAAAACAGTACCTAGCATTTAATATTACTCCACTGATGTTGTTCAACACTATCATGATGATGAACATGCTGTGAAGTAGAAGCAAAAAGCAACATTCCTTGATGTTGTGAACACTCTTGCTGTGATTTTGTGCCCATAACACACATACTGTGTTTACACCACCACACTTAAGAATTTTAGGATTGCCTATGAAAATTAGCTCCTTCTAGTTATATATAAACATACCTTCAAAGATTCATGGCATTTGTCTACCACAACTCTACCTGTGCAAGTTCTCTGATCAGGATCTGAAATATTTTCATTGCTTTATTTTTTCCAGAAAGCAATTTTTTTAAGAACTCATAGAACTGTCCAATATCTGGGGGGAATACAGGCAGAAACATTCATAAAACATCATAAAATATCTTACAGCTATTTTAATGCCCATGCACAAGAGGGGGAAACTACTGTTCTTCATTGCATTGCTGTGGCTAAAGTCTCAGCTTGTCCGTGCCCTGATGTGTATCTGAAGGGCTCTTTAAATGCCCCTTTTCAGGAAAATAATGCAGAAGGGAGAAAGATATTAAACACTCTCCAAAGAAAAAAACTGAAACATTTTATATGAGAAAATGTCACTGAATAGGTATCAGTTGTTGCTTCTGAGGGAGAAAAATCCAGCAATGTGAATTACTCAGCACTACGGCTGTATTTTGCCTTTCATCTCACTGACAGCTTCAGTGACAGAACAATAAATCAAAAAAGAGAGAGAGAGATATAAAAAGGACACAGAGATATACTGCAGCAACACTAAGTATACACAAGTTCCGTATTTATGTGCTGTGAGCAAGGGATGATCTGGACTGACACAATCAGGAAAAGGCAATGCGTGAAGGGTTTTTCTCTTTCTTAGTAACTGATTATTCTCTTTGCTACCAGACTGAATTTAGGCCAATACTGCTGCTTTCCTAGCAGTTAGACACATGATCTAAAGTAAAGGAGGGTGTGGGGGGAAACACTGAAATAATTCAAAGATCTACCTCCTTTTGTTTTTCTTGAGCACAGTACATTGCCGCTGGTTTAGTAACAATGTCTTAGGTGCTGCCTAACTGTGCCAAGTCAACAAGGCCATCTCTCAGAGAAGCCTCTCTTCTGCAGCTGCTAAATGCTGGCACCCTGCAAAAACATGTGTAACATGTTCCACCTTCACAGTGGTCCAATGTATTAATGAATTATGCAGCAATCAAATGTAATTCAACTTTCTCTTATAACAAAATAGTGTGTTAAACTGAGGACTCTCCTCCCTATAAACACCTCTTTGCTCCCTCAAAGTGGCATTTTTACTGATCTGAATGTTTCTCCCTTTCCCTGCCCCTCTCTCCTCTTTGCAGCATCCTAAGTAATGGCAGAAGATCCATATGTATTTTACAGCACAGGAAGTTTTACTGGGGTGGATGGAAAAGGAGAGGAGCAGCAAAAGCAGTTATTAACCCCACATTGCGTACGAGCCAAGGCAAGCATCTGCTTCCTGGATGCATTCATGCCTTTAACATTTCCAAACTGCTGAGTGTATGTACAGCTGCCTTCCCACTGTGATTCAAAGCTCCTATCCTCTCCCATATCATGATGGCACAACAGCAGCACTGATGATTCACGTGTTTGTGCAGTATTCCTGCACAGGGGGAATACACATGTATTTTAAAATGCACCTCTCCTTATGCCACTAAGAAGGCCAAGAACAGAGGAGGCCCTTCTGCTGTATAAAGAGGCTTGCTCAAAGCCTGCAGCTGGCAGTGGATGGCAGATAGACTTTTTCTTTCTGTCACTGTTTCTCTACTGAAGCAGCAAGAGAGATACTGTCAGGCTGTCTCTGTTTCTGCCTACAGCCAAAGACAAATCACACTGAGGTGGGTAAAGAGCAGCTCATCAAAGCAACTGATAGAAACCTGGCTACCTTCTGAAATACCTCTTTTCCAGCTTAAGAATACGCTGCGTAGCAGAGTGCGTATTTCGTGGTTTATGTTCCATGTTGTTGCTAGCTATTTTTAAATAAGTATCTAAGCGATCTGCACAATCCCTAAAATGCAGTATAATAATTATGTTTTGCCTGGTGCATATTATAAGCATCAGTTACCACTTCCAGTAAACAGTTTCCACAGAAATTGAAGGTACTAAATCACCATCATGAAAAATTCTTGTGTTTGTGATAAGATTTTCAAAATATTTGATGTAAAACCAGAGTTCAGTTTCTCAAATGCAAAATAGATACTCCCGGGCTTTTCAGAATGTGTTCGATGGATGAACAGGGCTCTCCAGAGCATTCACAGGTGCTCTGAAAAATACTGGCGGATCAGAGGGAGCCAAATTTATTTTTAAACAGCTACTGGGTGCTGAAATGAGCCTCACTCTGTGTCTGGCATCAAAACATACCCAGCAGCCTGCACTCTTCCAAAAACCTTTTGATATCTGAACTTTTCTGAAAATATGCCTATGACTGTGGCCAACAGGCTCTTCCAAACATTTTGTCACAGCAGCTGCTTCCCTCTCCTCTGATCCCAGATGCTCGGTTGCAACAAAAAGAGAAAAAAGCATTCATCCCCCTTCCTGGAACCCTTCTATAGGACTGCTGCCTGCCGAACTCCTGAAGCAGTGAGCAAGGAGGGGGCAGAAGAGCCTCCCAGCAGCCCCTGCCACCCTTTTGAGGTACAATGAAGTGCAAGGTACAACAAAGGGTGGGGAGGGAAACACACCACCTGGGCAGCAATGCCCCTCCTTTGCACAGCAAGGTGCAACCCAGCAACTCTTTCACACCCAGTTCAGTCCATCTTCAGCACCAAGATCAATGCAACAACACCAGTTCTCAATTTAAAGCAGGTTTGAGAGTACTAAGCAAGGCAGCGAGAGCCACCCCTGAAGGTATGCCATGACCATATGTATTTATGCCATGTACAGTGGCTAACTGAAGGGGCAATAATCTGTGGGACCCTGGGGACTGGGAGATGTTTTGCCCAGAAAACATTTTATGACCCTTCCTCTGAAAGGCCCAACCCTCCCATACCTTGCGCATGCAATTAAACAGTACTTACATGAGAAGAGCCACTGATATCAAACATTTCCTTGCTTGATTAAGCTTACCCACCAGAACAGATTTGTCTTAATTCAGTGATGGGACTTGGATGCTAACTTAGCTAACTTGCATATATACCTTGACACAGACAAATGGATTGTTTTGTTCTTATTAATATCAGCTATTACCTTTATTTCTGCTTTGACTCATATTCTGAATCTGAGTCAAGATGTCTTGACTGCAGAGCACAGCTGACTACGAAATTAGTCTTTACAATTTAATGGAACACATACGGGTTTGCCCCAGTCTGATAATGCATGCAAACTATTATCAGAGAGTAAAAACAAAGCAGATTTCAAGTTTGCAAATGCTGGAAAGGGATAAACCAGAGGAAACACATATCTTCAGCTACTCCGTTGCTAAAGGTTTGCTGTGTCCACTTCCACTTTCACATTGCAGAGGTTAACACCTTTGTTTTAGGGTATTTAGGTGATCTCAGATTTAGTAAAAGACTTTTGGGTTTCTTTTAATAAAATGTAAGCTTTGAACAAAATTTGACCCAATAGAGAGATTTAAAGAGTTTCCATTATGCACAACATATATTACATTCATGCACATTTTACGTAATCTACAGCAATTTTATACCTGACGTCTACAAAATATTGTCCTAACAAACAGACGTTCCTCAAGAAAATTGTCCCAAATAACTCCACACTCCTGCAAAGGCAGTGGGACATTTCACAGAAGACAACTACAACAAACAGGATCTTGTAGCCATCATGCCAACAAACATCCAGAGAAAGAAACCAACAATTTGAGATGGTGACTAGATATTTGGAAATATTATACAAAAAAATCTTGCTATTCTCAAACTTACAAAGAAGCTCATTAAAAACAACAAACTTGGGGTTTAGTACAATGAGGACAGGCTAGCTACCAAACTAGAAAGATTTTCTTTGATAGGCATAAAAAGTAAATTATATTTACTAGTAAAAACAACTACCATTTATATGTTTTTCACAGACACTATTTTGATATAAACAAAAATATAAATTTGCCAATAAAGTTTGTCTTACTTAAAAAGCTGAAAGGTTAGAAGATGTGAAACATACCTGCCTCAGAAGAGTAAAACTAATCACTCAAAAAATCAGACATCTCTCCTTTCAATAAAATAGGTGTTTGCATTAACATCTAAAGCAAAGCAAATTAAAAAAGCAAAGCATAAAAAGAAAATTCTTACTTTAACTTCCACTGTCTTCCCACCTTGCTCAATATGCCTCTCAAGATATTCAGAAGACAGCAAGTCACTGCAAGAAGAAGAAAAAAAGAACCATAAGCCTCGCATATGTGTTCTTGCGCTCACTCTGAGCAAGCACTGATTAAACATTTACATTTGAAAAGGGCAAAACCCGCAGTATACTTTTCCTAAAATATTCATAAAAATCGACACAACCACCTCCAGTGAGGTTGCACCGTACATGGGATACATTGATTTTTAATACCAGCAGGCGAGACAAGGAAAGCTGAGGAGGGTTTTCTTCGTAGAAGGTTCAAAACCAGCCACTGATAATGGTTTTAATGCAAGAGGTTTCCCTATTTGCTGCTAAAAGCGAACAGTAAAGAAGTTAGGTGGACTTTAAAAAAAGGAAAAAGATAAACCAGTGGGAGCCACTCCTGCAGCAGCAGGCTGTATCAGAGGGAAAACAGCCTCTGCCTCCCGCAGCCTCCTAAGGACACAGTGGCACAATAATGAAACGACCTTGTTAATACTGATATGGTGAGCTCAGGATCACGCCACATGGGCAGGTGAAGCCACAGGAGTTGCACTGCTCCGTAGGCTGGTGGCCAGCTCCAGGCAGAGGGTGCCACACTGCCCGCAGGTCCAGGGCAGGCCGCCATATGGGGCCCATCCCTCACCTCGCTCTCCCTGCGAGCTCTGAGGCCTCAGCCATGTCAGAGGGAAGTGCTCTGGTCACCAGCACACACCCAGCCGCAGAAGTACACCAGGCTTTGGAATAGATACTGAAGAGAAAAAATAATCAGACCTGAGGCAAACGTATAGAAGTTAAAGGCACACTGTATTTATAAGACACTTCAATGCTAAACCAGTCAAAGCCTCTCTCTCCTAAGTTATTTTCTAGGCAAGCAAATCATCTACATCATAAAATTCACTAAATATTTTCAAAGGCTGCAAAATTTTACTGAGATTAAATCTATATAACAATTTGATATTGTCCCATCCAAGCGGCAATTAAACTGTAAAAGATGAAGAATCGGTAAAGAAAACATGACGACAGGCATGCTGACTGACAGGATGGGAGGCAAAGAGCACAGACCTTCTTGGCAGAAGAGGCAATATTGAGTGCTTTTCCTTCAAAGAGCAAAACACCCACACCAGGGGCTAACAGAGCTGCTATGGGAGGGAAGGGACGGCAGAGTGGCACTCGGCAGCAGCCGCTTGGCTTTCCAGAGCTTCGCCCTGGCTAACCAGGCAGCAGGGACATGGACTTTTTTTTGCTTACACAGGCATTGGTGACTGCCCAGAGGCCGGCCTGAGGAGGACCAGGTTGGTAGTATGGGTCCTTCCATACCAGCCCTACAAATTGCTGGCTTGTTATTTGAATTAATAACCCAGGCCCAAAAACCAGGAGTGCTTTAATGAAATCTGCTGATAACGGTAAATTGGAAAGCATGGGGAATAAAGAAGATTGAGAAAATCCCACAGGAAAGAGCTGGATGATCTTCAGGACTGGATATTAGAAATAGGATCAAATTCAATTGTACAAACAGCAATTTTATGCACTTAAGGGCTGGAGGGAATTTCTATTATGCTGTTTTGGAGGGCCTGGTTTATAAGGAAGGGAGACAATAAATGTACTTGTTTCTGGCAAAATAATTTGCCAGATCAATAGGGTGTCTTCCTGAAAAACACAACTGTCATCCTAGAATACATCAAAGAAGATGTATTTCCAGTTAAGCTGAGGTAAGATTAATACCACTGTCCAAAGGAGACCTTTTTTCAAATACTGCGGACAGGTACTGGACAGCTTTGCTTAGAAAGTTCAATTACCTGGAAGCACAGAGAGGCTCCTGAGATAACCAGGGAGCGGAAAGCTCCAGAAATCTAACAAAAAAAAATTGAGTTGTGAGGGGATCTGAACGCACCAGAGCTTATACACCAAGATGTACCAGCAGCTAATTAGGGTTCAGAAGGTGCTGGCAGAACCTCAAATGCATACTGACTGGTAATGAGTCAATGAAAACTGGATGTTAAAAACAATATTTTGTACCTAAATGCAAGTGACAGGGGCAATAAAGAGGGATGCTAATAAATTTCTGAATGGGAGCATCCATGGGACAGTTGTCCATGGAGATGGGGTCCCCTCACTCACAGTGAGTTCACAGATGGTTGCTGCTGAAAGCAAGAGGTTTCAGTTCCCCCTCAGCAGCAAGCATTGAACCTACCTTGTGTCAGCATGAGCACTCATCAAAATATGCTTGGTGTCAGTACTGCCACTCGTCAAAGTACACTTGGGAGGGTTCAACAAACCCATGTTTTTGCTGCATTAGGTAACTGAAGTCCCCTGTGAAGAGGTACTATAAGCTCCAGAGCTGATGCAAGGGAGGGAAACTACCTGAGCAGTTGTAAATAGGGGAGGAAGAAAGGGCAAGCAACTCCTTCAGCCACTGCAGAACCGGCATGACCAGCCATCTCCAGATTTGCCCTCTAGGACCCCCTTAATTCTGGTCAGGCCTATGCATCTACATTGATGCTTTGCACAGCAGCCCGTGAGTGACCCATTATTGAGGAGCACCTAAAAGAGATGCTGTTCGATTACAATCCTCTAATTCCTCTTAGAAGTGAATATTAAATATCTAGGATATTAATCTACCTGGAGGAAGCGCAATGACTTCTATAATGCCTTTTCCAAATTTGGATTTTTAGACAGATATTCTCTTTAGTTTAGCTTGCTGAAGTTAGATGTATAGTTTCTTGGCATTCACTACACTTTCTTTCCACCAAAAGTCCATGTTTCCATGGGTTTACTAAAGCCACCTCTACATCTTAGGGCTCTACTTTTACTGTTGGCTATTTATGGAGGACTCAGTTAAACTAAGGTCATCGTCCTTATCTGATGGCCACAAAGGGTTTTGTGCCAAGGAAGATGCAAGAGATTATAAAATCTAAGATATTAAAGTATACAGTACAAAAGACAGATCAAACAGAATGACTGACAACTCAGAGTTTACAGTTGTATTTGGAGGGATGACAGGGAGAAGCACAGGTTCTTCTCACGTGGGTCTGATAAAATTATTGCTTTTTAAAAGATACTGCTGTTAATGTTTTTATGTTCTGGAAGATCATATGTTACGTTCTCAAAGATCTGGAAATTGTGTCTGGCATGAGAAAACAGAAAGATGATCATTCTCTGCTTTGTACAATGCAAGAACTAGGAGGTAATAGAAGAGGCTAGTAACCTCAAAACTAATAAAAAGAGACCTTTTCTGGCACAGCCCCTGGTTACAATGCAGTACCTCTTGCCACAGGAGATACTGGAGGTCTGTACTGGTTCACACTGGGAATGGGCAAGTTAATGGACATAACTGAGGGCTGCCAAATGCACAGAAATTGTACCTGACTGAAAGTCTTGGAGTCCTGGAAATGGACCCTGGGGAAGCCTCATATATGCTTGTTCCGCTGTTCTGCTTCTCCCTCAGCATTTGCCTTGGGCCACTGGGATAAGACAGTTGGCCAAGTGCCCCTCTGACCTGACCTGCTGTGCCTGCACCCTGGCAGGGCCCTGTTTCTCCTGGTGGCTATGTAGGGTCCCCCAGCATCCAGCTCCAGGGTTGCCGAAGGTGAGCCAGCTGCCCTTCTCCCACCCACCACCCCTCTGATGGACATACCCAGGTTGTTTAAGTTGTGTTTACTTTCAAAGTAGGCCAAGAGAACAATTCCTAAACAGGTCCATCCATTTCATCCTCCTGCTCTGACCCTACTTTCAGGACAAAAGAGCTGGAAATTGTTGGGGAGCTGCTGGCATTCCCCCACCTCTCAAGGTCTGTTGCAGGTGCCTTGGTTCCCAAAATGATCCTGGCTGGAAGGGACACGCCATGGGGTCACTAGTATGTGCAGCTCCTTGGGACCAAGCCCAGAGCTTACAAACAGAAGATAGGTCTGAAATTTAAAGACATTTTTAAAGCCTACCCTAAGTAACATGGCAGGCAAGATACATCTGGGAACATTTTATCAGTAGAAAAACTTACAAACGATGCCATGTTACATTTTATTATTATTATGACTCATTGCACAGAAAATATCATAAAAAACACAACACTTGCTGATCCAGTAATACAATCAGTGCTATTACAAACTAAGCTACAACATAACAATTTTACAGTCTTTAAAACTTATGCCAAAAGACGTGCTTCTCTCATGAAATCACCTCACAGGTGGAGTAATGGTTTCTCTTCAGTAACAGTCATGCACCTAACTGTAGTTTTAATACAAGCCATTACTTTAAAACAAGCCAAAAAGCTATAGTGAAACAGTGATGAAAAGCTGAACATGAGCCACCAACGTGCAACTACAGTCCAGAAGACCAATCACATCCTGGGCTGCATCAAGAGAAGCATGGCCAGCAGATGAAGAGAGGTGATTCTGCCCCTCTACTCTGTCCTGGTGAGACCCCACCTGGAGTACTGTGTCCAGCTCTAGAGCCCCCAACAAAAGAAGGACATGGATCTGTTGAAGTGTGTCCAGAGAACGGTCATGAAAATTATCAGGGGGCTGGAGCGCCTCCCCTATGAAGACAGGCTGAGAGAGCTGAGGCTGTTCAGCCTGGAGAAGAGAAGGCTCCGGGGGGCTCCTTATAGTGACCTTCCAGTACCTGAAAGAGGTCTATAAGAAGGCAGGGGAAGAACTGTTCACAGGGTTTGTAGCAATAGGACATGGGGTAATGGTTTTAAGCTAGAAAGGGTAGATTTAGGTTGGACATTAGGAACAAGTTCTTTAATGTGAGGGTGGTGGATCACTGGCACAGGCTGCTCAGAGAGGTAGTGGAAGCCCCATCCCTGAAGACATTCAAGGTCAGGCTGGACGGGGCTCTGAACAATCTGATCTGGCTAAAGGTGTCCCTGCTTATTGTAGGGGGGATGGACAAAATGACCTTTAGAAGTCTCTTCCAACCCAATACATTCCATGATTCTATAAAAAACTTCTGAAACATGATGAAAATTATTTAAGCAACATAAGACACTGAACAATCAGCATTAAAATGATATGTATTTCAATATAAATTGTACAACCCTTTCCTACGGTAAAGATGAAACAGGAAAAACTTAGCTTGCCTGCCAATCTGTCCTAAAAGCCATTTTTTTCGGTTTAAGTAGTAGTTTTGGTATTAATTATAAAGAAAATCTGCGTGTGAAAAAAAAGAAAAATCTTAAAAACACGAACAATGTAGAAAACTACAGTGAAAAAAACATCTACACTATAAAAGACAATACTGCAGAATGATACTTTCAGATACATTCGCTGAGGCATGGATACAAATTCTTTGAAAAGGCATGGCAAAAACCTGCATATGTTAAGACCTAAAAATAAAACATTTCACAGGAAAGAAGCACATGTGATCTGTGGCTTTCACAAGGGAAAAACAGTTATGCTAATAATAGCAATTCTGTTTTCAGAGGTCTGTTATTTTCACAATGTACACAAATGCAGTAGTGTAGTTTTGTTTACAGCAGCATCATTTTTGGGAGCATTATCTTAAGTCATAACCACATGAGTCCATCCCATACAGACCAAATAGCATAAGGACAGAATATAAAAAAAAACCAAGCAAGCTCCTCTCTGCTCCTCCAGCTCTCCCAAATCGTCACAACAACAGTACACAGGAGGCTGTAGCTGGGGGAATTTTCTTGCAGAAGAGGGCCCCAAAGGAAACTATCCTTACCCAAGATCATGCATGTCTATGCACTTAAATTCTACCTCAACTGTAGCATTTGCATATGAGCTTTATCGAACCGAAGCCATGATCAGGAACCCAGAAAATCAGATAAGCTTTGGTTCCCCAGCAGAAAGAGGCTGCTCCAGGAAGCAAAAAGAGGGGAAAAAATGAGGTGGCAAGAAGAAAAGAGGACAGAACAGGCCAAGTGTTTAAAGAAACAGAAAGAAAAAACAGAAGATTATAAAGGACTTTGACCTGAAAGAAGAAAAAAAAGAGGCCATTAAAGATTTTTGAAAAGGGAACAGGTTAGCATTTGCATATGAAATGGCTAACAAACTGGGAATTATCCCTGGAAATGAAGCAGAAACTTTCATTTTCAAGAAAAGAAGGAAAATGCCCATCACCAGCTTCTGAATAAAAATTAACTCTCCAGATGCAAGAGTCTGCAAAGATGGAATGCCTAAAAGTTATGGAAGAAAAAGATAGGGACCTCTTTAGAGGCCACAGGAAGAATTATGAACTTAAAGGCAGAAATAAAGGGAGTTCATAATCATAGTACTAAAGTGCATCTTTGTTGGCATGTAAGTGTTATAAATGAGAGGAATTACTGGCTTCATGATACCCGTTTTCGCTGCTGTGGGAACATTTGCTTGGACACACTGTGGGAATTCTTTATCATTTCTTCTGTCTGTTCACCCTGATTTCTGTTTCTCCAACTCTCCATTACGCACACCTGAAATTTCAGATTAAATACGGTGTCAGACAAGGACATCAAATGAGATATCTGAGCCAAGACGCATTACTGAAAAGGAAGACAGCATTTTAGCCGAAATCAGCAGAAAGGACCGGATGGGTTGAATGCCAGCAGGAAATTGTCAACAGACATATGGAGACATTCAAGAGAAAACACGTATCAACTGTAACTATCAACTGCACTGTTAATGCTAACTCAGGTTATAGGAGCGAGCTGTGAGAAGGGAGCCTCCTGCAACATCACGCTTCAGAGGGCTACAGTAAAAGGAATGGGCACTGTTTGAGTACCAAGCACATGAGGATGAGGACTCTTCCATAAAGTGAAAAATTTTCCCCCGATGGTGTACAACCTCTACCAAGTAACCTGGAAAGGTCTGAATTATAACTCCTTTATATACAAGGAAGATATTCCCCCTCAAAAGAAGGGAAAAGGAAGGGAATCGGATTCATGTAGGAAATTGTTGTAGAAGATCAGAAACTACCAGCATATTGTTCTAAGAGAAGTGCTGAAAGATTCTGTTTATTAACAAGGCTGATAGATATGGAAGGAGTGGCATGGGGAGGTAATTTTTTAGAACTGCCCCTCTTGTACACCAGGGAAGAAAAGGCAGGTTGATTATCATCATGAAACAAGGACCAAGAAATTGGAAAACTAGATGAGAGGGAACAGAAGGGCTGTTTCTGCTAGTCAGTAAGAGTACAAGGGACAATTAGCATTACCCCGCATTACACTACAGCCCTAAAACAATTTCAGTATCAGCCAGGAGCTAACTAAAAAATACAGCAAGATAAACTCAAAAAAGCCACTTAGAAAGCAGATTTCTGTATCTGACTATCTAAGACATTTT